AGAACCTGGGTCCTCGAGGGCCTCCACAGCTGGGTCCTCTGCGTCTGATGGGGGGTCCCACAGGTGGAGAGGCCCGATGACTGTGTCAGATGAGTTGAGGTCTGGCTGAGGGGGAGGCACCTCGACAGGCGCCCAGGCTTCTGTGTCTTTGAACACCCAGCTGTTGTCTAATGGGGTCCTGGAATAATAAGGCTTGAGCTTGTCATGGTGGACAACTTTGACTTTGGCTCTGGGGCTCTTTTTGAGTCTATAGATCAGGTCATCCAACATGCCTACAATGAAGTAAGGGCCCTCGTAGGATGGCAGAAACTTTCGTACCTTGTTTTTAACCCTTTTGGTGCCTTTAATCAGGTGCCAGACTGCATCTCCCACTTTGTGTTGGGTTTGACAAATGTTTTTGTCATACTGTTTTTTAGCTCGCTCAACAGATTTCCCAAGAGCTTCTCGTGCCAGCTGGTGAGACAGCTCCAGACGTTCTCTCAGTTTCATGACATATTGAGGGGGGGTGTTAGTGTCGATATTGTCATTGTCAGGTGGCAAACCAGCGACCAGGTCGACTGGCTCAGTGACTTCTTTTCCAAAAAGCATCATATTTGGTGTCAATCCGGTGGAGCTGTGTCGAGTTGCTCTATAAGCCATGAGTGCATAAGGCATCATGAGATCCCAGTCCCAGTGACATCTGTCTGCAGTAGTAGCCAGGATTTTCTGCAGAGTGGCATTAAAGCGCTCTACCTGTCCATCAGACTGTGGGTGAAATGGGGTAGTTCGAGTCTTGTCAATCCCCAGCAGCTCGCACATCCCCTGGAAAACAGCTGACTCGAAATTTGTGCCCTGGTCACTGTGCAAGCACTGGGGAGCTCCGTACCTACACACCCACTCAGAGGCGATCTTTTCTGCCACCGTGGATGCTTGCTGGTCTGGGATTGGATAGGCTTCTACCCACTTACTGAAGTAGTCTTGCACTACTAGTATGTAGCTATTGTGTCTCTCTGTTTCATTTAAAGGGCCCATCACATCAACTGCAATCCTCTCCATGGGGGCACCGACTCGCACCGTGCCCATAGCCGCTCGAGGAGTTTTCTTCGGGCGAGCTTTAGCAGCACAGCTGGGGCAGGTGCGGCACCAGAGTGTGACATCGTCCTTCATGTTATACCAGAAATATCTGGTTTGCAGGCGTGTGAGAGTTCTTTCTACTCCAAAATGGCCTCCCACAGGACCATCATGCATCTGCTCCATCATTGAACTGCGGTACATATGAGGCAGCACAATCTGGGGGTAAAACGTTGTTCCTTCAGTGCTATAATATTTCCTCATTAGCACTCCATCTTTCTGGTTAAGTCTATTCCACTGTGCCCAGTATGATTTGGTAGCGGGGCTCAAGTGGGCTATGTCTGCATATGGCAGCCGGCCTCTCCCTTCATCCATCCACTTTTTTACTGGTGCAATGTCAGGGTCAGATTCCTGAGCCATTCTCAGCTGTTCTTGAGTCCACCCAGAGAATAAACTGGTGTTGGGAATATCACTCACCCAGTTGATGCTTGGATTTAGCAGGTCATAGTTGTTATTGTTGTCACTGCAGGCATCCTCTACCCCCACTGGAGGAAACTCTGGCTCAGCTACCCCCACTAGAGGTTGCTCTGTGGGAGTATATATGGCAACTTCAGCTGTACTGTCTGTCAGGTCACACTGGACCCCCTTATGCTGGTGTCGCTCGCTGTCATGCTCTGGCACTGTGCAGGGGCACGACTCCCTGCAGGGCCTCCTGGAAAGTGCGTCTGCATTTTGGTGGTGTCTCCCCGGTCGATGAACCACCTGAAAATCATACTCTGCCAGCTTCTCTAGCCAGCGGGCCAGCTGTCCCTCTGGTTCTTTTAACCTGGTTAACCAGCGCAGGCTGCTGTGATCAGTCCGGAGAGTGAATGGTCTGCCAAGCAGGTATTGTCTGAAGTGACAGGCAAACTCCACGCCTGCCAGAAGTTCACGTCTGGTGGTGCAATAGTTTTGTTCTGTGGCTGACAACCTCCTGCTTCCATAGGCTAGCACCCTCTCCTCACCCCCCTGGATTTGGGAGAGGACTGCTCCGATTCCCCAGTCACTAGCATCGGTGTCGAGAAGCATCTCGCCGCTGTCAAGGGGGTAGCCTAGGACAGGAGCTGTTGACAGTCGTCCTTTCAGCTCTGTGAATGCCTCCTGGCATTCCTCTGTCCAATTAAATCGTGCATACTTTTTGGTCAGCTCGTGAAGAGGTTTAGCTATCGTAGCAAAGTTTTCCACAAAGCGTCTGTAATATGATGCCAGGCCCACAAACTGACGTACCTTAGAGATGTTACGAGGCGTAGGCCACTCTGCCACTTTCTTCACCTTCTCTGGATCAGTAGACACACCCTGGGCTGAGACAATGTGGCCAAGGTAACCCACCTTCTCCCGGAAAAGGCAGCACTTTGACGGTTTCAGCTTCAGGTTAGCTCCTCGTAGCCTGGCGAACACTTCACTGAGCCGGCTTAGCATTTCGGAACCGTCCCGCCCCAGGACGATGATGTCATCGAGATACACCAAGCAGGTCTCCCACTGCAATCCCACTAATACTCTGTCCATTAGCCTCTGAAACGTGGCCGGTGCATTGCACAGTCCAAAGGGCATAACGTTCCATTCAAATAGCCCCTTGCGAGTGCAGAAAGCTGCGGCTTTGCGGGCCCTTGGTGTCAATTCCACCTGCCAGTAGCCTGAAGTCAAGTCTAGTGTACTGAAGTACCTGGCATTGGAGAGTGTGTCCAGAGTGTCCTGAATACGTGGCAGGGGATAGGCATCTTTAATAGTCCTTTCGTTAAGGGGTCTGTAATCCACACATAATCGCGGGCTTTGGTCTTTCTTCCTCACCATGACAATAGGTGCAGCCCAGCTGCTGTTGCTGGGACGAGCTACACCAGACTCCAGGCTCTGCTGTACCTGCAGATCTGCAGCAATCTGTTTGTCTCTGGCCATTCTGCGTGGCGGCTGCTTCACAGGCTGCCCAGGAGTAGTCTGTATGTCGTGCTGCACTAAGCTGGTGCGGCCAAGGTCAGTGGGCCCGGTGGAGAAGACATCACCGAACCTCCGTAGCACGTGAGCTAGCCCGGCTCTGTCCTCCTCAGACAGGTGAGCACAGCTCTCTGCATACATGTCCTGTAGATGACTGGGCACAGATATAACAGGAAAGTCATTGGGGTCTGATGTTACTGGGGACTTGGTCGGATGGAGATCCACTTCTCCCAACACCTCCGCTGGCTGAAGAACTCCGACCACCACCCCTCTCTTCAGAGTAACAGATGCAGGACCAGGATTGTAAATCCGCATGGGAATGTTGGAGGAATGCCGGGTCTGTACAACAATGTGGGCTGCCAGGACGTGCTGTCTCTCAACAAAGCCTTTAGTGGGGGTCAGCATCATATCTTTGTTAACAGCAGAGCGGAGGCGGGCAGTACCAGGCACCACATACTCACACCCCGACTCCAATACTGTTGTGCGGGATACCCTGACGAGGTGCACTTCAGGCTGTCTGCTGGGTTTTGAGCGAGGCACTCTCTCACCGAAGAGGGTGATTTCCCTGCGACCATAGTCCAAGTGAGCATGTGACTGCAGCAGAAAAGGGTGCCCCAGGATAACCTCTGTATTTTCAGCTGTGTCTGCTATAATAAAGTTCACATTGGTTACCTTGCTTCCGGCTTGAACTGGCAGGTTGACTTCCCCTCGGACAGCGATGCCCTCGGGACCGATGCCTTGTAATACTTGTACGATGGATGGCTGGATTTGAGGCCTCGATTCAACAGGAATGGCGTTGAAGTGGCGGAGGGGGAGTACATTCCTCCGAGCGCCAGAGTCGAGCAGAGCACACAGTTCATGTCCCTGTATCAGTATCCGGATACTCATGTCATCATCAGAGCCTTTATTGCATGTGACCACCGTACCTGAGTCAGGAGCTGGAGTGTTATTAGGTGCATGCTGTTTGCGTTTTCGGGAAGAGGGACAGTTCCTTTGTATGTGCCCCACACCAGAGCAGTTGTGGCAGATGACTTCTCTAGAGTTCATTTGTACAGGTTTAGCTCTGTTAGGCGACCACTGCTGGTTAAACCTCGGTGCTTTACTCTGGGTGCTAGCGGGCTCCGCAGCCCACTCTTCAGCCACCCCGAAAGCCTCCATACAGGCGGAAACATTAGCATTTTCGTGCACCATAGCTGCCCTGGGTCTCCGCTCTGCAGCATTGCGATAACCAGACTGCATTAGCTGTGTGACGGCTCTGGCAGCCCGTCTGGTGGCTTCATACCTGTGGGCTATCTCGTAGGCTCTAGCCAAGGTGCGCGGCTTGTCCTCCAGTAGTCTTTGGATCACTTCTGCATCGGCAAGGGCGTTGGTGAAAATCTCCACACTGATGACGTCCTGCTCCGGCTCATTACGGTCAGCATACACAATTGACACTTTTTCATAGATGTCGTCTCTTAACAGGTGCAGGGCCTCCCCCGGTCCTCTGACTCTCTGTCTCAGTTCAATGCCTATGGCAGCAGCATGTTCTGAACACGGTCCGTAGGCCGCCTCAATCTCACTCACCATCCGCTGATAACTCCAGCGAGTAGATCTGGGGTTCTTGTGGATGATGGCAGCCGCGGGTCCAGTCAAGCTGAATCTGAGATGCACAGCCATAGTCCTCTCTGACCAGTGGTTAGCCTCAGCACATCCTTTAAAATGGAAGAGGAAGTCTCTCCATGAGCCAGCCCCATCAAACTGGCTTGGGCGTAATGTTGGTATTCTCTCTCTGTGTCCACGGTGTTCATCTTCATCACTTGTGTCCATATAGTCCTCTCTGTGTGCTGCACGAGCTGCAGAGCTGCGTGGTTCAGACCAAGCTCTCCTCATGTTAGGCTGATCGCACTCACACTGGCCAGGTGCGGTCCCACAGTGCACAGCTGAGCATGTGTGAGCTTGTACTTTACAAGGCAGTGTGGCAGGCTGCTGCATACAGGGTGTTAATGGTGACACTGGCGGCTGAAGGCACTGTGAATGAGCTGAGTAACTTGGGATGGTCGGCATAGAGTGGCTATAGTCCATGGAGGTGAAAGGATTAGCTGGTTTAGCTGAAGTTGATACCATGCTCATTAAACGGTCACATTTTGGTGGAAAGGGGGTGAGAAACTCACTATTTGGCTGTGCTTGCTCCTTTGTCGGCATGATGAAAGGGTTAGTTGGCGCCAGTGATGCTTCCGGCGGCGTGGCGTAGCTTGCGGCTCCGGCTAGCGTTAGCTCCATGCTAGTCAGAAAGGGGTTGGTGCAGTCCCCATACCCAGTATAATCCATAATTGTCTGGTCAAACATGTCCACCTGACTTTGAACAGCCTCATCAATATTCACCAAGAATGGATTAGAGCTTTTCCGTGGGCTTTTTCCGTTAGCTGCATCAGCTTGTCTCAGTCTGTGATTAGCATTAGCGTTAGCTCCGAACGCTGCCATTAAATCCACTCCACTCTTCTCCCCCGTAGAAAAAAAAAAAATCTCGGACGAGCCCCCAATGTTACCTTTTATACTGACGGTATCTCGGCACCGAAACCGTAGTTTCGGATACACACCGGTGGTTTCTGACTTGGCTCGTTGTCAGCCGGTAACTAGCTGTCCAGATATTTCGAGGGGAAAAAGGATGAAGACGATGCGTTCGGGTGCCGTGGGAAGAACCTCCGTTTATTTACGTTCTTCAATTACATGGACACTGAATTGAATACATACAAACTAGACACTATACTCCTTTTCTGACCACTTTCTCTATACTTTCGTCTCTCTCTTCATACCTCCGCACTTCGCCTTGGCCATCACATTTTACACACACCGGACTTCCAAAAACCCACAACCCCTTGCGGCTGCTACTCTTAAAGTGACAGGTCAAGCCTGTAACAACCTGATGAATGCTTTCTCTTTGATACTCAGCGACAGAATCAACAGACAGAGGCAGCAACGCAGATTTGAATCTGCCAATCAGATCAATCTATTGCTGGAGAGGGGGGGGGGCTCCCCGAAATCAGCCGGAAGTGGCGCATTCGAATACTGTTTGGCCTGTCTGCCGTGGATGGGCTGCGTTCCACTCCAAATAGCCGGTCGGCCGTAATATATGCATAGATATATATGCGTGCATATATGCATATATATATATATATATATATATATATATATATATGTGAATATATATATGCATATATATATATATATATATATGCGTGCATATATGCATATATATATGCGTGCATATATGTGTGTGTCTATATATATTTATAAACTGTATATTATTTTCCATCATTCAATGGACAATTTGTACTTTTTTTATATATAGGCTACCATCAAACATATGTTCATATAAAGTGGGTAACTATACAAAACGAAGTGAGATAACTGTTTATGAATATCTGTTCAATTTTATGTAAACTTGTGTAACTCATGAAAGATAAATGAGTGTTTCAATAAAACTATTACATATAAATGTATAGTGCAGTTTTTGTTTTCATTGCAATATATTTTTTTTATATGTATCAATATATAGCCATACATGGTCCATGCATATATTGCAATATATTTAAAAATATAAGGACTACTTTCCCATATATGGAAATGTATGATCCAATATATTGTATTATATTTACCAATATATTACAATATATTTTTGTTTCATAAGGGAGAGATCCTGTGTCTCTGAGCTGCAACCACAGCTTCTGTTCGAGCTGCCTGCAGACATTCTGGGAACAAAGTAAGAGCAAAAACTGTCCACTTCAAACTTTGATATATGAGCTTTTTCCTTTTTATCCTACGTTGTTGTTATTTTAAACGTATTAAAGGTGGGGTAGGTCATTTTGGAGAAACCAGCTCGAGATCGCTAGAATTTGAAAATACACAGCCGGAAAAAATCTGCTACTTCCTTACAGAGCCCCTCCTCCAACACACACGAACGCGCACATGACCAATGAGGGCACGAGATACGTTTGTGCCCTGGGAGGCTGACAGGCAGGTAGGCCATCCAGTTATTTTAGCCGGGCCGGCTCAAATTATTGGTCGTACTTTTTACAGTACTACGGCTTCCACAGATGACATTTTTTTATAGATTTTTTGTTAAAGCACTTAAGATATGTATTGCTATCGGGATGTTAAGAGCATTCCATGGAATATAACAAAAAGTGTATCTCAAGCCGGTTTCTCAAACTTACCTACCCCACCTTTAAATCTTATGTGTTTATCTTCCAACAGATAGGCCGACCTGGACAAAGTCATCGTCCTGAACTGAATACCAAAGTACATGTCCCTCTGAAAGACATCCTGACTCCATCTGGTGGTGAATAAATGACATAGCAGCATTTCCTGATATTGATAATTCACCCTGTGACGGAGGGCAGAGGAAACGAAAGAGGATTTTGACATTGTTGAACAGAGCTGAGACGCCATTACAGGGTGTGAGATCTCTGCTGCGAGACACGTTTGGAGTATATTTGGGGAGAAGTGGAGAGACATTGGAAGTTGGTGAGTCCTGCTATTGAAAATAACTTTAATATCAAATGGCTGAGAAAACCGTTCTTGTTGAAAGTTACCTGAGCTGCCATGTGTGTTCAGAGACTTTCAGAGATCCCGTGTCTCTGGGCTGCAACCACAGCTTCTGTTCGAGCTGCCTGCAGAAATTCTGGGAACAAAGTAAGAACAAAAACTGTCCCATTTGTAAAAGAAAATCTTCTAAAGATTTGCTCGGAGTGAACTTTGCAATGAAGGAGCTGGCTGACTCCTTTGCTGAGAGACAGAAAGCTGGATCATCTGAGACAGAAAAAGGAGAGAAGAAGGTGGAGGTGGTGTGTAGTAAACATCCAGAAGAGCCTAGATTGTTCTGTAAGGATGAAGAGAGAGCTTTGTGTCCTGTCTGTGAGTTTTCTCTCCACCAGGGTCACAAGGTGGTTCCTGTAGAACAAGCAGTCAGTGAGCTGAAGGACCTGCTGAAATCTGACTTAGAGTCTCTGCAGGACAAGAGGGACAAATACAAAGGAGTGGAGGAAACATACAAGGAAGTGATTCAAGTGTCCGAGAAGCAGCTGCTGTCCACAGAGAGGCAGATCAGAGCAGAGTTCATCAAGCTCCATCAGTTCCTGAAAGAAGAAGAGGAGTCCAGACTGGCAGCTCTGAGGGAGGAAGAGGAGCTGAAGGGGAAGACTATCAGCAGAGAGATGAAGAGCATTCAGGAGCACATCTCCTCTCTGTCACACAGTATCTCTGCTGTTGAAGAAGAGCTGCAGAAACACAACGGGCCCTTCCTCAGCAGTTACAAAGCCACTCAGAGCAGAGCCAGAGTCCAGAGCTCACTGTCAGACCCACAGCTGCTCTCAGGAGCGCTGACAGATGTGGCCAAACACCTGGGCAACCTGTCCTTCAGAGTCTGGGAGAAGATGAAGGACCAGGTCCACTTCAGTCCTGTCATTCTGGACCCAAACACTGCACACAGCCGGCTCTATCTGTCTGATGATCTGACCAGTGTGAGACATGGAGACAAAGATCAGCAGCTTCCTGATAATCCAGAGAGATGCACTAAGTATACTAATGTTCTGGGCTCTGAGGGCTTCAACTCAGGGAAACACAGCTGGGAGGTGGAGGTGGGAGATCATCCTGGCTGGAATATAGGTTTGACTAAAGAGTCAGCTGACAGGAAGGGAGAGAGATTTGCCTCACCAAAATATGGAATCTGGTATTTATCACATCGCAGTGGAAAATACACTACTGATGGTGCTGGTAAGACTGTCAGAGTGAAGAAGAATCTCCAGAGGATCAGAGTCCAGCTGGACTATGACAAGGGGGAGGTGTCCTTCTACGACCCTAAAGACATGACTCCCATCTGCACTCTCAGAGACACTTTCACTGAGAAACTCTTCCCATATTTCAGTATTGGAAAAGCTGGTGATGCTAAAACTGCTGATATCAAAATCTGTCAAAGTGAGATTTCTCTGTGATGTTCAGGAGTGTTGGTTCAGACTTTATTCTGACTTCGTCTGTCTAGATCCTTTTGAAATAATCAAGGTAAAAAACAACAGATGATAATCAGAATTTAATGTGAGTCTGTAAGATTTTAAATGTTAAGAAGATTTGATCATGTTTTATTTACAGAGTTTTACACGTTTTACTCAAAGTCTCGGTGCAACAAAACTAATGTTTATTTTTTATAGTTTATCATTTTGTTATACTTTATTATCATGTTTTTATAGCTTTAATGTCATGAGATTGTTTGATTATGTTTTTTGTGAATTCTTGGCTTTTAAGAAATGTATTCATTTTGTATGTCGTGCTGAAACTGCATGAAATAAACCAAACTAACAAATGAAAGCTGTCAATTCTCCTTTCATCAACATCTAGTTAATAATGACACACTATATAGCACTATAAGTCATGAGTTTAACTTTCTGATATTTGTAGGTCTTTTGATGAATTATGTTTAGATATGGATATATTGTTTTACTCTCCACGGGCAAGTCATTTAATACTTCTATTTCATTCTTTCATTGTTGCAATGTTTCTTTGGGACGTTTTCCGTACTGTATACATGGACGATAACATTTATTGTGATTGAAAATGTCATTTTTTTTATCAACCTGAAAGGAATCACAGCTGTAGAATGAAGTTTAGTATTTGTAATGCTGCTTCAGATATCTTATGATTCAATAACCAGCAGTTTGATGCAGAAATGTGTCTCTGAACTTGATATTGGTTTCTTCAGGTGAATCTGTCATATGTGACAAATTACAAATATAAATGACAAAAGACAATTGTACAACAAACTATAATATAAATAAATAATTCTTAATGATTTCATCTCTTCTTATTTTTTGCATTGCATCCCTTCAAACATCTGTTTTAACCTCAACATGAATTGACAGCCAAACTCATGAAATCTATATTTCCTTTTGTGAAGTCATGTTGTTAACCTGCTGTAAACAAAGAAGCTCCCACCCTGATGAAGGAGAATCAGCAGAAAACATGTGAGGGGTAAAGCATGGCATACTGGAGCTGTGCCACGTGTTTGATTTGATGGAGTTGTTTTGATTCTCTCTTAGAAACAGTCAGGAGTCACATTTACCTTTCTCCAACTCCACTGCAGCATTATAACATATAACAAGTAGCTTCAACATTAAAAAGAGTAATGCATTACAATCATTTCCTGCTAAATACATATTTATTCACTTTGATACTCTGTCTTCATTTACTTCAAATCCCAATGATCCAGTTGTTGATCAGCTGTGTTATTTAAAGGTCACCTATCATGCTATTTTTAGGCAATAGCATAGGTCTCAGATATATAAAAATATATAAAAAACATGTCTATGAAGTGTTTTGCTTAAAATACCAAACAGATCACCCATTCTAGCCATGCCTCATATCCTCTATTTCACTTCCTGTTTGAAAAGTGCTGATTTCGGGTATAAAGCTTTAAAAAAAAAAGAATAGATTTTTTTTTTTAAAGAGGGGCGGAGCTTATGCGGGACCCGGCAGCTACTGTCTAAACTAAATACTGCCGTGATGAAACGCCATATCATGGATTATCAAGGATTATTTCTGAAACAGTATGGAGCTCAAAGGCTTTCTCTCTCCGGTTATACCACAAGGTGAGTTTCTTTTTATTTCCTGCTTCTTCACACACATGCTCTCCAGTACAGGTTAGCTCTGAGTGTTAGCAATGCTAATGTAAACACCGACCATATTACGTGGGTGTAAAGCCAGCCTACATTTCCGATATTACGTCGTATCGGACGCAAATCTGGATCAGCCCCGTTTTTAGAGATTTGAGTACGGAGGAAAACAGAGGGTTTTATTTTCTGACGCTGGGTGAGTTCCCCGACACACCGGGGACACATATTTATGTATAAAAGACATGAAAAAGTGCATTTTGCATGATACAGTAGGTCCCCTTTAAAGTATGATTTATTGCCGGTTTTTTTCACTTAATCTAGCTAGGTAAACATGGTTTATATAAAAAGTAAACTAGTATTTCCCCTTTAGCTTTTTCTTTTATAATTCACTTGCCTTAAACATTACAATTTACTTTTATAATTTAGTTTTTAATCAATTAACCTAGCTTGAAGACAGAAACTGTATATTTATATATACTGTGAGGTTCGACAAAGCATAATAGCATTTCATAAATATATTAAATTAAGTGGTAAACCTGTCATGAGCCCCCCCAGAGTGATATAAAATAAAAGTTTGGTACTTACATATCCACGTTCCAGACGTACATCTCCTCTGCAGAAACGTTGAAGCTGGTGTAAACAGCTGGAAGCTGAAAACAATTGACTTCAATCTTTCATAAGAGGCCCTGTTCTGTCTGTTTGGGGCGTTCCTCTCCTGTAGTGTAATATAGGTTTTAGTGCATGTGAATGGTCTCAGAGGCTCACATCCCTGTGTTCCTCCAGAGGGAGTTTCTCTCTTGCCTGAAACGCCTCCATTGGACTCCTTTGTTTACTTCTGTAACATAAGCAGCTTTCACACCAAGTACTTTGCCGTACTTAGTTCCCAGTACTTAGTCCCGCCGAACTCTTTAGTCTCGTAAACTGTCTTAGTAAATCGCGTTCACACCTGAATAAGTCCCTGAGGGAGGATTAGGCAAATGAAGCCGCTGACGTCACTTCTTCTTCTTCTGCTTTGGGTTTACTGGCAGGCCGTAAACAACTTCACGGCGTATACTGCCACCCGAAGTCCCTGAGTCCCCCGGGAAAATCGCCAGAGCGCCGACACCTCCTCATCTCCACCGATCCCACGTTTTATTTTGTGTTGCCATAAGTTAGTCTCTCTGTTGGTGCGCTGGGCTAATGCTAATAATGCTAATGCGAGCAAATAAAATGCCGGCTTCACAAAACCTTTTGGGAGTTTTACGGGGCGTGGTTTGCAATCCGCCCAGCCAATCAGAAATGGGAACCTTTTTCTCCCACGAAAGTACCTGCTCTCTAGCAGGGACTGAAAAGGTTCTCATGAACTAAGTTCTAGTTCCAGATATTTTTGGTGTGAAAGCAAATTCCCAAGAACTATCGGAACTATTCCTGGGAAAAGTACTCCGGTGTGAAAGCGCCTATTGTGACATCACTATGTAACACCTGCGCTTCTATTGGCTAGCGCTCCAACACATTGAACATTAAAGCACGGAAACATGTCACAGGAAATACAGGAAATCTGAACCTGAAGTTAAGCAGAGAACGACCCCTTCAAACAAACACTGAGGAAATAAAGAAACCCTCACAGCTTCAGATGGATTTCAGTTCATAATCCTTCATATTAAAACTGTTTTTATTCATTTATTCTCTATTAAAATAAAATCAGAAGAAGATCAGAGCACAGCAGAAGAAGCGAAACATAGATTATGGAATGTATTTCAGTAAACAAAATAAAAGCTCCAGCTGGTCCAACATGGGGGGGCTTTATTACAACCACAGTCAAATAAAGCACCGCTTTTATATATTCATATATATATAAAGATATTTATATATATATTTATATAGTTTTCATATACACCTTCAGGCAATGACTAGAGAGGATTCTTTACAGAATCAAGTTTCTTGTGGTTCTCTTAATTTACAGGTAAACTTAGTTTCTGGATATTTAAACCACAGAAAGAGTCAAGGCAACTTTCACCTGCCTCGTTCATAAAGTACAAAACTGGCACAGAGAACGACCATTTTTATACACAGTAAAAATGCCATAAAATTAAATTACATACAGGAGACAAAAGTTCTGTAAACCTTTCCCCGTTACAGCAAACCTCAAACAAACAAATCATTTCCAAAACAAATTCAAATCAGTATAAAACACACAAAAAAAACAACGAAACGTTTCTTTTTTTGCCCTTTGAAAAAAATGTGCTGTAGCTTTTGAACGACTTTCTGTTTTCAAACGGGGAGCGCGTGAAGTTTTAAGGAGCGAAACACGGCGGGCGCCACTGAAGCTGGAGAACCGAGCGACTGAACATCAGCAGCGCGGGAACAGCGGGAAGTAAAACAGGGAAAAAACCGGAAACATTTTTTTTTTCCTCTGAGCAGAAAAGTCAGATTTCCAGAGAGGAAGAGAGAAAAGGGGGAGGAGTTTAAGATCTCATGACGGCGGTGAGGTGATGATGTCATGAAGTGGGCAGGCCTTTAACAGACAGTTTGGTAACTATGGCGATGGTGGCCTCCACCGTCCTGTACAGCATGTCCAGCATGTCGGGGGGGGAGGAGGCGCCCGGGAACGCCTGCGGGGAGGAAGAGGAGGAGGAGGAAGAGGAGGGGGCGGGGCCTATGCAGCCCTCTGGCCCCTCCCCCACAAGCCCAAGGGATGATGGGAAGGCGGCGGCACTGTCCTCAGGAAGGAGCGGGGCTAAGCTGGTCTTAGATCCCGCCTCCTTCTCTTCCTGCACCTCCTCTGATTGGCCCTTGCCTCTCCTCCCCTCTTCCTCCTCATCATTGTGTCTCTCAGGCTCCTCCCCCGCCTCCTGAAGCAGGGACGACGAAGAGGAGGAGAACGAAGAGGAAGAGGACGACGAAGACGCCTCCATCTTCTCCTCTTTGGGGGAGGAGTCCATGTTGTTTCCCGAAGAGGAGGCAGTGGGGGGTCCGGGCTCGGGGGAAGGAGAGGGGGGGTCCTGCTCCGTGCCGGGGTCGATGAGGGAGGAGGAGTCTCTCGTCTCCGTGTCCGACGTCAGAGCCTCCTGCTGCTCGGGCTTCACCTCGCTGCAGGGGGGGAGGGAGGAGGAGGTGGAGGGTAGGGAGGAGGAAGTGGAGGGTAGGGAGGAGGAGGTAGGAGGGAGGGAGGAGGAGGTGGAGGGGAGGGAGGGAGGAGCCGTCTCCCCCCCTTCACTGCTCACCCTGCGACGTTTCACAGGAGTCGCTCCCTCCTCCTCGGCTGCAACACACAGAGGAGAAAACATGTTAGAGCCGAGCGGATCTGGTTTAACAGTTTCTCATCTTTTAAAAGTCCCCTATTATCCTCTTCTTCATCAATATATTACAGGTCTCAGATATATACAGAGCCTGTCTCTGATTGGCTGAAACACCAAACAGATCATTGCAGCATCCCATAATCCCCTCTGTTTCAGCCCTGTTTCCAAAGTGCTGATTCTCTGTCTGTTACTTTAGATGAAAATAAGGAGCCCCTCCCCACGCCCCTCTGAGAGAGATTTGGTTACAAAGAACAAAATGGTGCTCTAGGAGGAGATTCAGGTGATAAGGGGGGGGGGGTTACCTTGGTTGCTGATTGGCTAATAGTTACACAAGCCAAAACATCGTTATGACATCATAAAGTGGCCAAAATCTGATCAGCTCATTTTCAGACAGGTTTTTATAGAAATGGATCAGGACAAAAAGAGAGAGAATCTTTGTTCCTGAAACTTTCAGAGTCTCTTTACACAGAGGGGACACATGTTGATGTAGAAGAGACATGAAGAAGAGGGGACACATGTTGATGTAGAAGAGACATGAAGAAGAGGGGACACATGTTGATGTAGAAGAGACATGAAGAAGAGGGGACACATGTTGATGTAGAAGAGACATGAAGAAGAGGGGACACATGTTGATGTAGAAGAGACATGAAGAAGAGGGGACACATGTTGATGTAGAAGAGACATGAAGAAGAGGGGACACATGTTGATGTAGAAGAGACATGAAGAAGAGGGGACACATGTTGATGTAGAAGAGACATGAAGAAGAGGGGACACATGTTGATGTAGAAGAGACATGAAGAAGAGGGGACACATGTTGATGTAGAAGAGACATGAAGAAGAGGGGACACATGTTGATGTAGAAGAGACATGAAGAAGAGGGGACACATGTTGATGTAGAAGAGACATGAAGAAGAGGGACACATGTTGATGTAGAAGGACATGAAGAAGAGGGAACATGGGAAGAGAATGAATAAGGGGACACATGTTGATGTAGAAGAGACATGAAGAAGAGGGGACACATGTTGATGTAGAAGAGACATGAAGAAGAGGGGACACATGTTGATGTAGAAGAGACATGAAGAAGAGGGGACACATGTTGATGTAGAAGAGACATGAAGAAGAGGGGACACATGTTGATGTAGAAGAGACATGAAGAAGAGGGGACACATGTTGATGTAGAAGAGACATGAAGAGAGGGGACACATGTTGATGAAGAAGAGACATGAAGAAGAGGGGACACATGTTGATGTAAGAAGAGACATGAAGAAGAGGGGACACATGTTGATGTAGAAGAGACATGAAGAAGAGGGGACACATGTTGATGAAGAAGAGACATGAAGAAGAGGGGACACATGTTGATGAAGAAGAGACATGAAGAAGAGGGGGACACATGTTGATGTAGAAGAGACATGAAGAAGAGGGGGACACATGTTGATGTAGAAGAGACATGAAGAAGAGGGGACACATGTTGATGTAGAAGAGACATGAAGAAGAGGGGGACACATGTTGATGTAGAAGAGACATGAAGAAGAGGGGACACATGTTGATGTAGAAGAGACATGAAGAAGAGGGGACACATGTTGATGTAGAAGAGACATGAAGAAGAGGGGACACATGTTGATGTAGAAGAGACATGAAGAAGAGGGGACACATGTTGATGTAGAAGAGACATGAAGAAGAGGGGACACATGTTGATGTAGAAGAGGGGACACATGTTGATGTAGAAAAGACATGAAGAAGAGGGGACACATGTTGATGTAGAAAAGACATGAAGAAGAGGGGACACATGTTGATGAAGAAGAGACATGAAGAAGTGGATTTATACATCCTGTCATGTACACAACTACAGTAGGGCCTTTGTTATCATGTGTACTCTGATATTGGAAGAGTACATTCAGGATTTTCCCAACACTTTTAAACAGAACGTGTGTGTGTGTGTGTGTGTGTGTGTGTGTGTGTGTGTGTGTGTGTGTGTGTGTGTGTGTGTGTGTTGTACCTTTGGCCTTGTGCTCCTTGGCCTCCAGCTCCAGAGCGCTGCGCTGCTGCACACACACTCTGCATCGAGCCAGCAGCTCCTGCAGGGCGGGGCCGAGCGCCGGGTCCACGGCCTGGGGGGGGGAGACGGAGAGCAGCAGCACCAACGCCCTCAGGTCCTGGAACAAGATCCATACATGATAAGATAAGATAAGAAGTACTTTATTGATCACAATGTGGGAAATGTTTGCGTTGCAGCAGCATCAAAGACAGGGCATTGTACATTGGAGAAATTAAAAGACTGGAAATAAACAATCCAAAATGTACACGTCTCAAATTTAAATAAAATAGCAAAATGACAACATTTCCCAAATCATAGATATCAGACTTCACTGTCCACACAGCATGATCTCCTTTTAGTGTGTCCTTGTTTTTTCCCCTTTTCGTTCATATCATAAATAACAATAAATATTACTTAGAGGACTACTGACACAGAATGTAGCTTGCAGAGGAGTGTATGTGCGTGTGTGACTGTGTGTGTGTGTGTGTCTGTGTCTGTGTCTGTGTCTGTCTCTGTGTCTGTGTCTGTGTGTGTGTGTGTGTGTGTGTGTGTTCGTACAGCGTTCAGCAGGCCGCTGGTCTTGCTGAGCTCCAGGCGGTGAGCGATGAGTTCTGGCTGCAGGCTGCTCTGCTCGCTCAGCAGGTTCGTCACCAACACACTGATCAGGTTAGAGCAGCTGGGCCCCGACAGCACCTGCACCTACACACACACACACACACACACACACACACACATATTAATGTATTTTCTAATGGCACCATCACAAATGTTCCTATATGGGTATTAAAGTCTGATCTGAAGTGTTTTCTCTCCTGTGTTCATGCCTTAAAAACAGGTGAAAAAAAGGTATTCATCAATCTTCCTTCATATAAACGTTTGATGCTACAAAGGCCCTGATGTTTAAAATAAGACTTAACATATGTATATATTGTTACATAATTTGCTAACACACAATATACCAATTCAATTCCTATTTAAAACGTGCGGTAGTGCAGCCTCTTGTGGTCAACATGAGTATTACAACAACAAACACTAGGATGGGGCGATTTGTTTTGATTTGTTTTAGGATGCTTTTTGTAATAGTTCTTAAGTCATAAACACGGGACAGAAAACAATTTAGAACAGAATTAAAAATAGTCATCAACTGTCATCATGGTCCGAACGATTCAAAGATGCTGACTAACATATAAAACATCACTTCACAAAGACATTAAGGCTGGAAAAGTGAATTCCTCCCAGTGCAGCTGTGTTTCCCGTACCTTGTGCAGGAAGCACGTGAGGAAGGAGTACGCCACGTTGTTGTTGAGGAACGTCCTCTCGTCCATCAGGATGCACTTGATGTACTCGCTGAAGGCCGGGTCCTCGCACAGCAGCTTCACACACGTCTTAGCCAGAGCCGACTGAAAGAGACAGAGAAACAACCACGTCAGAAACTCTGGAGCTACGGCTAATCAATCGGCTGGATGTCTGAACAGGGGATGAAAAAACAGCCGATGTAGTTGGCAAAAAATAAAAAGATACACAGACAGAAAGATGGGTGGTAAACGCAAAGTATTATAGATTAGAGCAGGGGTGTCAAACTCAATTTCATCACGGGCCACATCAGCATTATGGTTGCACTCAAAGGGCCGGTTGTAACTTTAAGACTATATCATTAATTAATATAACTTCATAATTAACTACGTCTGAAAGCAGAAGTCTAGAGCAAATAATTGCAAGTCTCTTCAGTGAGAATGTCACAATATGATTTTAAAAGAAAAGCCACATTCTGGAAAAACATTGATTGTGACATTTTGAAAAAGAGAAGTGACATTTTGAAAAAAAAATCTATTTATGAGAAAAAGGCTAATTCTAAGAAAAAAGGCATATTTGAAAAAAAAAAGTCAAATTCTGAGAAAAAGTCAAATTTGAGATGCATTGTGGGACATGTAGTTTATGGGCAACGTGCTTCTGTAAAGCGGCATGTAACCGTATAATAAACATATTATATTCTTTGCAAGCTCTTGTGGGGCCACATAAAATGAAGTCGCGGGCCGGATTTGGCCCCCGGGCCTTGAGTTTGACACCGCTGGATTAGAGCTTTATGAGAGATTCAAGTAAATATAACGACTGGATTTAATAAAAAGGAGGATTATAAAATCCATAAAATAGAATCAATTAAATGACAAAACTTGGAGATGGGGGATATTCTGAGAAAAACTCTGAATCTAAAAGTGACACATTTTTGAGTAAAAAAAACCTCAGATCATCCATGAGATTTAGGAAGTACATTTACACAAATTAAAAGCACAAATGGAAATGTTCTGAGATAATAGAGTCATATAGTTTGGACAATGTTCTACGATTAAAGTCAAGACATTAGGAGGGAACTCATGAAACTAGTTTTTTTTGTTTCTATCAGTTTTTGACTCCAGTTTATGTCAAACTTTATATTCTAATTACATATATTTTGTAAATGTTGTTTACATACAAAGGTCCTCATATGCCATTATATTATTTGGTAATATGTGTGCGGTGATAAAACCTGAGAGACTGAAAGAACAAACCTGAGACTGACAGAGCTCCGTCCACAGTTTGGGGAAGATGGCGAGGTGCAGAGGAAGTCCTTCGTACGCTATCAACACACCTGAGAGAAGCATTGGAGAGTTAATATACAAATATCTGACATATCGTTTTTATGACGGGTTTATCTTCAGTCTCAGGTTTGTACGTACTCAGTTTGACGAGGGTCTCTGTGAACTTCTCACAGTTGATGGCGACGCGACACAGCAGGTGGCTGAACTGATGGTACGACAGGAAGTAGTCCAGCAGCATCCTGTCGTACACCTCGTCCTTACCCTGAGGAACACACGCACGCAAACACAGTTTAATACCAACATCAGATCTTTTATTTATGTCATTTTTTAATATTTATTTTGTGTGTATTTTCATGAATATTATTTTCTGTATCTACACTACCCAGGAACTACAGGTCTATATTGTTGAGGGACACATTTAGATGTTGCACTTTCCTCCAAGAAGATGTGAAGTTAGATCCTTTGGGTGTTTCTCAATCGCGAGTAAAGCTGCTTCAGAGCCACTATTTCAAGCATACTACGTCATCGAGTGCCGCCGAAGTACTGTTCCAATGTCCAGTATACTTGGAAATCTACCGAGCCCGGCGAACTCCGTTTGGAGAAATATCGAGGCTGCACATGAGTAGACTCCGCGGTCTTAAAATCCCCACAATGCTTTGCGCACGGACCAATTTCCCCAAATCTGTGGCGGAAGATGTAAGGCGGGGCCTCTCATATGACGCACACCTGCACACTTGCTAGCCTGTTCCACTCTTTGTTTTCCAAATGTCAGGAAGTATTCTTGACTCGCTTCTGAAGCAAGATGCTCGGCAGACATGTTCTACCAAGCAAGCGCACTCGCGATTGAGAAACACCCAACTGTCTCATGTTTTAAGCACACACACTGAGGTCGTGTGAGGCCAAAGAAAAAATGTATTCCAGATTTTCATTTTGTGCATTTTCATAATAAGGTTGTCTCCAGTTTGTGTGAAGCAAAGGTTTACTAATAATCACATTGTTATGCATTTTATGAAACATTTTGTAATCTTGTTTGAGGAACAGGTGGTTCTCAGAGCATCAGGTGTGCGTGTGTGTGTGTGTGTGTATTTGAGTATCATTGAATGCGTTTGTTAAATACAAATATCTTGTGTGTCCCAGAGTCTCCAGCACTCGTCCCTCCAGAGGGAAAATGTCTCCCAGAAACAAACGGGTGTCGCTGTAGCAAAACTTAAAAATTGAATCAGATAATCGTCCCGGAGGACTACTGACACAGAGTGTAGCTTGCTGAGAGTGTGTGTGTGTGTGTGTGTGTGTGTGTGTGTGTGTGTGTGTGTGTGTGTGTGTGTGTGTGTGTGTGTGTGTGTGTGTGGTTGTTTGTGTGTGTGTGTGATGAATTTGTGAGTGTGTGTGTTTGTGTGTGAGAATGTTAACATGTTTGTGTGTGTGTGTGTGTCTGATGAATTTGTGAGTGTGT